TTACAAAACGTAAACTTTAAAATTATAGGTATATGAAAACCTTCAGAAACATCATGAAAATTCATTCTGAACGTCATCATCGTCAGTCCTAAGACTGGCTGAACATGCACCTTCACTATTCCTATCCTGAGCTAATCTTCGCATTTTCCTAAAACTAGAACATCCTCCATCCTTAACCATTTGTGAACAGTAATCTAATCTAGGTCTACTTTTACTGCTCTTAACTCCTGTTTTTGCTTCTAATATGTCTCTGACTAGTCCTTCATGCCTGAGAAGATGTCCTACCAACCTATCTCGTCTAATCCTTTTTGATTTCCATAGAGTCCTCTGTTCTCCTGTTCTTTTTAATACCTCATAAAAATTATTATAAACTACTTCACATTCTTTATTTTGGAAATCTCTTCTTATCTCTAAAAATATTGGAGACAAGCGGGGTAAGGAAATTAGGCAAATCACCCTGTATATACAACAAAATGAATTTTATGATTATATTGTTATATTATATTAATATCTNGATATTTCCCGGGCAAAACATATTTTATTTTAATTTAATATTGAAAAATATTTTCTAATAACTAACGTTATCCTATTCGGCAACAGGTGGCGCATACATTGTCATTTTTTGATTTTTTTGCAATAGTAAAGGGTACGACGTTCGTTAGGTAGCTACTGGGTAGCTACTGTGTTTAAAACGGTGCGTGATGGCTGATGTGCAATTGAGTTTTTTGGGAAGAAGCTATTTGCAACTTTTGAATAAATGTTGGTAGACTATTATTTTTCATTTTATTGCAAAATTACGACATTTGTATTTGTTTTAGGAAACAAACAGCGGAGCAAATGGTAAGTAACATTTAATTTAAATACCTGTAACGGTTTTTGCAACCGTATTTTTGAAATGAGAATGAAATAGTATTTATTTTAACCGTCGATAGGGATGATGTTTCCCTTGATTTATGTGGATAATTTTTAAATTATAAAAGTACACATGATAATCTGATAACATGCCAGTGGCGGCGTGTTTACTGATTAAATGTACTTTGCAAAGAAAAAAATTAATAAACCTATACTAACGTTTAATGCCGTTTTTAGGGGAGGGGGGTTTATTTGTTATAGTCTCGAGCCTTATAGATAGTGGGGCCTTGTTTTCTTAAGACAGGTATACCCATGATACAATAAGATTTACATGATACATGATGCAATTAGCTTGATTGTATTAGGAGGTATATCTATACTTAGAACCACCATTTTGATTGAAAGACTTATCCGATTAGCAAGCCGGTGTATAGAAAAACATTTACCTAATAAATAGCTAAAATTATTTGAGGCATATTGCTTTTGTAATCGAAAGTAAAAAAAATCAAATAGGGGCAGTGCGTCGCATTTTAGTAGGTATTTAGTTGCTACAGAAGTATTTCAAGAACTTATACTCATGAAAACATAGATAATGTGGTAATTCGAAACATGCATGTTCACGTCGGTACCAAGTAAAATGGCGTCTCAATATTAAGTTATGCTTAGTAACTTGCATCTTGCAAGAACAGCGCTCACTCGTTTGAGTTTTTTCGACTAAAGAGGTGTACAATCAAGTGAGATATTTCTGAGTTGTTTTGATTAAAAATGACCCAACAAGTGCGGATGATGAACCCTGAAATGGTCGTCCAGCAGAAATTTCTGGTCCCTCGATGGAGTCGAGAATTGATAAATTAATTCGTTATAATAGAAGCGAATGATAATATCACTCAGAACCTTTTATGGTATAGGAATACGTCTGCGAAGTGGCTTCCTAGACACCATACTGATGCTCGTAAAGAATCGAAACTTTTCATCACTTAAGGCTTAAAACAAAGACTTTTGATTGTAGGAGACTTTTCACCACTGTGATCTTAAAATCAAAAGACAGAGTATTTATGGAGTAGAAACACACCAACTCTTTCATTCACAAAAAATTTAAGGTTCAATTCTCCTAGGGTAAAGTGACGTTGGTCATCTTTTGGGACTCGCTGGGTTCAGTCTACTGCAATTTTCTTGAAGACCAGCCTAGTACTATTCTGAGATACTAGAACACAAATATAAGTCAGCTATGTGGGCTTTTGGCAAAAGAAGTTGTTTTCAGCACAACCCCCGCGCTCATACGGGCCATATGAGCAGTGATATTAAGCTTTAACAATTGGGCTGGGAGGTTTTATCTCATACCGCGTACGGTTCAGATTTTGCTCCGTCTAGTTTTTACTTGCTTGAACCACTCAACGAAGTCTTACGTAAAAAACAATTTGTCAGTAATTAGGAAGTTAAGGAAGCGGTGCAAAAGTGGCTTCAGGGTCAATGAAAAGATTTCTTTGCCAAAGGAATTAGGAAGCTTGGATAAATGCATAAACGTGGGGGTTCATTATTTTGACAACTGAGCGGCATGGCCTAGAGGTCTAGACCATTGCTTAGCATTCGGGAGGACGCCGGTTCGATTCCGCGTCCGTCTGCCTTGGTCCAAGTTTTTCTGTGGTTTCCTTGGATCACTTAGGCAAATGCTGAGGCAGTAATTTTCCACAGATAATCTTTCATTCTCTTCTGTCTTCATTTCGTCCGTCTCGTCTTTCTCACCCGAACCACCACCAACCCATTCCCACGATTCCTGAAGGCAGGCTGAAGAGGGCCTTCTGCCCTACCTTCCGGCATAGTTCGGAGGGACTGCCCGCCCACCAGCATTACTGGCTGGTGGGAATGAAACACCCAAAAAGTTTTTGAAAGGAAAGGTTATTTTGACAAAAAGATCAAATTTTGTAACAATCGAACAAATCGTTTTTGAGTTACAGCTATTTGTTTCTTTACTTACTAAGGGATCCTCCTACATTTAAAAAAGTGTCTATCTGTTATCGACATACGCTCAAGACTCTATTAATTGCACTAATTAATTGTTGTAACTCATTCATATAATTGAATGAATGAAAAACGATTTGTTACTTATTACAAAAACAAAAAAAAATGTGGTATGAACACCTTTAATCATCTTCCGTGGCTACGCTACTGTTCTTAATTCATTTAAACATTCACATTCACGCACATTTCGGGGATGTTTGCAACCATACAAAACATTTTACGCAAATCTCATCTCAGTCAACTATACCAACCTCTCTTTCGTTAACAACAGTTTGAGATTTAATTAGCTAGATTATAGGCATTACGTAAACGTTTGCTAAATTATGATACGAATGATTATGTTATCATTAATAGCACTTGCTGTTTTGCTTTGGTATGAATAAGACTAGGTAATAAAGGATGTTTAGAATGAAGTGAAAGTCTTGGTTGTAATAATCGTGTGATCTTCACGACCTTTTGTATCTTCATTATTGCAGGATATTATCAAGTTAATTTATCTGTGTAAGACGCCGAATACATTAAAATATGCGTATTTTTCTTCGTGTCTTCAGGGTCCTCGCCACGAGAATGATGTATCAGTAGATAGATTGGTACGTTTAAATTGCTTATAAACAAACTTTCATTGATACCAGAATCGTATGAAAAATAATGAATAATAAAAAAAATTATATAAGTAAATAAACAAAGGGAGATTCATTCCTAATCCATTGGTAATCCTCACACTCAAAGTGGTCGAAACATGTACAGTTTTTCATAAATTATTTACATGTGATATGTAGAGGTAAACCTCTACTGTGTGATTTATTTACCACAATCTTCTTGACTGTTTTTCGTAAAGATGATATTTCCCGGGCAAAACAGTTAAATCCTACCTCATATAAATGCGATTTTTTTTTATCCAAAAAAAATATACTGTTCCCAGGGGATATAAAAATTAGGTTTATGTGGCCGTCGATGATCTTTGACATGCATTTAGGAGATCAACACGAGCGAAGCCGCAGATAAAACCTATCATGAAATTTTGTACATACATTGTCAGGGGTACAAAAAAGGACATAGGGTACCTTTTATCCAGAAAAAAATACTGTTCCCGGGGGATATAAAAATTTGTTTTATGAGGTCGTCGATGATTTTTGACACGTATTTAAGCCATTAATTTGTTGCAATTGGTATTTTAAATAATTGTAAAAATGTACCTTCAATTTAAAAAACAGCACAACGCAAATTAATTATCATTATTACCAACAAAATAAGTTAGAAATAGAAGCATACAGAAACACATGTGTCTATTTTTACCCTCTTCCAGCTGTTCAAATAAATAATTCCACCCTTTGTTTTCTTGTTAGCTTATACCTAATTAGGCTCATCTCGAAAACATCTGTGAACAGAAGATTCTTGTTAAATTTTTCTTCTTTTCCAATTCTATTTGTATTTTCTTAGACAAACGTTTTTTGTTTTAAAATTAAACTAAATTTACGTTTAAACTTTTTGAAAATATTTTGAGAAACGAAGGAACTATCTGTAACGATTTTCAAACGGTTTTAAGAACTTATCATTTTAATTTAAGGATGCAGCTGTTGAACATAATGTAGACATCAATGTGTCGGATATAAATCATAGTTTTACTGCACAGAAAAAGGGCGGTATATGATGAAATATAATCCGAAAGGTGGTTAGCTTTAGTATCACATTTCACGCAAATGAATCAACATATTTTTTTTTCCAATGCGTGATTATTCGTAGAAATTTTGTAAATCTTAAAAGAATATTTTTATGTGAAACGCTTTGACATTTAATAGTGGTTAATATGAAATATTAATGTATAATTAATATTTTCAATTTTTCACCTACTACAACTACCCAGAGCATTGGTGTGTAAAGCCAAAAGTCCCGGGTTCTATTCACGGCGAGGGTGTGACAACAGCAACAAATTTTTTCTCATTATGCTGAGGTAGTTTGAATATAGTTGGTTAAAAATTGAAAATGTATTTTCACATTAATATTTAATACTTTTATGCTCTATTTACAAAGCTCTGTTCAACAATATCCCACAAGCATAGGCAGAAGTAACTTTCTTTACCTTTTTTTATATTGAAAAAATACACAATACTGCAAAAAGATAGTCATAATTTTTACACAGTATTGTACTTGATCTGTACCATGTTGTTATAAACGCATAAAATATAATAATTTATGATATAAGAAAAAAACATTTAAAAGTACATAATAAATACAATTACAATTTTCTTGTAAATAAAAATGCAGTCCCAATTAATCGTCAACATCAGCTTCACAAACGTCGTTGAAGAATATAAGCTGTTCGACCTCTGCGACCGATAATGGTTCAGGGGGAGGAGTAGGAATTTTGACAGGATCCACAGGAGGCGATCGCCATTTAAGATCTAAAAAGCACATAGGGATATTTTGCGTAAATTATTAATTACATAATTACTACTTAGTTCAAATGTATCAAAAAAACTTAGCCAATTTAACATTAGCACATAATACTTATAATGTCATTTATCAAACCAGAAAATGAGTTAATTAAATTAAATATATTTCTAGAAATTTTAAACCAATTTGGTATCGAGTTGCGTCGTACAAGGAATTCGTGTGTTGTCGCGTTCGCCTAATAAAGGTGTGTATACGTAACACGAGCACTTTACTCGAACGTGTTCGTTCAGTTTCGTGTTGCCTCTGACGTGTTTCGTGCTCAGATGTAGGCATTCACAGCTTTAGGCTTTGCTGACAATTTTTTCACTCGTTCGCGAATTCTGGCTCAAACCTAACTTCATACGTATCATAATATGCCACTTTCTCAACTTGGTACACAATATACTATTACCTTTTTGATATTTAGCTGGTACTGGTTCCAATATTCTACTTAGATTCTTTATCATCCGTTCTATTTGTATAACCTTTTTGGCAGCATCGATGGCTACCTTCATGATTCTAGCCTCCTCTATATAGCAGCTTGATTCAGCTTTATGTACTATGCTTTGAGGAAGTTGATCAAGCTGAAGAATAAATTGGCGATACTTTAACTCAACCATTCTCATCATGTCTATGGGTAATATATTAGTGTCGTTGGGACCAACGTGAATTTCAAAAACGTCTTCCACGAACACCGCCAAATCCAGAATGTCATCATTTATCGTATATTCTCGGAATTTTCCACTAATTAGCTCTCTTGCCAGTTTTTCTAGTTGACGAGCTCTTTCTTCTTCCCATCTAAATTTGTGAAACGTAAACTGCATGTTAGGGGTGAAGAAGAATGAGATACATTAATGTCTATTTGATAGCTTCTTATTTTTTCTGATGTTAATTTCTTAATTCAAGAGTTCTTGAAAAATTTGAGGTGAGTTCGAAAAAGTGGGATTAAAGTATCTCAGTTCAAGGCGAATCATCTGTATAATAAAATATATTTCCATGACATAACTGTAAAACAAACTTTTGATAAACGTATCCATCGAGTATGTAACTCGAACTTTAGAGTACATTCTCCACAACTGGTAGATGATTGTAATTTTTAGTCTTGGAATAAATTCTTTCACATTAAGAAAGCTTAATATTTATGACTGTTCGTGAAGTACTTTGTTTAGAATCATCATCATTGCTTTAAAGAATCGTATCATCATCTTCATCTGGTGAAAACCGATCGCTTAATGTTTCACAAATTTACTAGCTATCTACCGTCATCATCTAAACATGTGAAACTGACACGTTAACAAAATGTTAAGAAAAAATGACTCTTCAGAAGCTATTAAATAAAAGTAAAATAAAAATGCTGCTATGCAAAGGAAGAAAAAGTAGGGAAAGAGCGAATATAAAGATAGGAGACGAAAAATTAAAAGAAGAGTCCGAATTTAGATATCTAGGAAGTCAGATAAGTCAGGACGGAAGGAGTAGTAGGGATATAAAGCAGAGGATAGCGTAGGGTCCAGTCGCCTTCAATAAAAAGAAGACACTTCTATGCTCGCGAAAGGTTAATTTAGAAATCCGAAAAATATTGTTAAAGGTGTATGTTTAAAGCGCGGCGCTGTACGGGTGCGAAACATGGACGGTGGGCGCGGCGGAAAAGAAAAGGTTAGAAGCGTTCGAAATGTGGTTTTATAGGCGAATGATGAGAATACCGTGGATAGAGAGGGTTAGAAATGAAGAGGTATTAGAAAAAATAGAATAGAGGGCCCTATGGAAGTCAATAAGAAATAGGCGAAATAGGTTAGTCACCTTCTCAGTCATGAAGGTCTACTCAGAGACCTATTAAGAGGCAAAAACGGGAGTTAGGAGGGGTAGAGGTAGATCTAGAATAGATTACTCTTTGCAAGTAGTTAAGGATGTAGGTTGTTCTAGTTTTAGGGAAATGCGATGATCAGCTCAGGATAGGAGAAAGTGGAGGTACTTGTGCAACCAGTCTTAGGACTGACGACCTTATGCTAAATGATGATGAAACTACTTCACTACTGTTACAACATTAGCACAAAAAATATGCAATTTCATTTAAGAGGCAGGATGCAACATACGTTAACAGCTTCTTACAAGATACCTCCCGCAACGTTGTGAACCAATTCCTGCACTTCTCCTAAATTGGTTTGGAATCTCTTTTTTATTGTTTCCATTTGGAGTTTGACATTTTCTAATGGATTTTCCAGCTCTTCACAGTGTAGCAAAGAATTCAGATTCTGGATTTCCATAAAACGAAACACCTGCCAAAGTTGCTTCGGTTCTTCAAAATAAAGAGCTGGTTCGTTTTGAATGGCTGTCCCTTCGTTAAAATTTTGAATGAGTTTATGTAATGATGCCATTTCACCGGCGTTTAGTTGGTACATTGCAAACAATTGTTTTGGGTCCTCCTTCGCGTCCAAGTTGAGGTAGAAATCGTTCTTCATACGCCACGTAAGAGGGCTTGCAAGGTACAGACATTTCTGATAGAGTTTCAATAGCCTCCAACGTTCTTCGAGTCGATAGATTGTGGACGTGATCGAACTTAACTCTTTCGATAATTCCACATACTCAAAATACATTACTTGAGATTGCGCTTCTTCAGTTTCGGATTGCCTCAAAGCCTCTATCGATCTCTTGTAATCTTCGTATAAAAACTCTTCGAATTTTTCAATGTAAATTTTAAATTCATTTTTAATCGCTTTGATCACTTTTTCTTCCTCCATTATGTTTTCTTCCATTAGATATAGTTCATCCATTCTATATCCGGTGACAACTTTCGTCCTCAGAACTTCTCTGAGGTTGTTCACGTAATCGTTTAGTTTAAATGGTTTGTCTATGGGTCTATTCGCTATTGTTTTGAAGTAGTCGGGATCATAATCGGTAACGGTTTTCAATTTAGCGAATTGCGGCTCTTCTACGTAAAGTCGATTCAAACGGTCCAGTTGTTGACGAGACCTGTAACCATTTCTTTCGTTGTATCTCAACGCTAATTCTTTCCTCACCAGTTTTTCGTTCCATGTTTTCGTAAGAATTTTATAGGCGAATTCTTCCAAATCGTCTGGATATTTGAAAGGCGACTGTTCGGTCAAAAGGTCTCTTTCGTTTTCTTTAGTAATTTGCGAACCAGCTGTAAAATAATGTTCTTTCACAACGCGTTTGTTACCGAAGATTTTTTGAAGATTTGTCGGCACGGGAACACGTGGCTTTGGTTTCGGTTTTGCTTTCTGTCTTTTTAGTATTACAGGCTTCGGGTGACGGATGACTTTGTGACTTGGTCTGCTTTTGTTGTCTAATTTGACACTTAGACTGCGAGTGTCACTTTCGTAAGTTTTTTCCCCTTCGATTTCCAAATTGCGGAGATGATTTAAGATGTCCGTGTATCCTGACAGGTGTTCTTCTTCAGCCACTTCATCAATATCGTAAATTTCGGGATATTCTGCTGCTTTGGCCATTGTACAACTACGAAGCTTGTATAACCAATACCAAACAAGGGTGTTTTTAGATATGCAACTGACTACTGTGTTTATTATCGACTTAACAACGGGGGGTTGTCTTGGAAATACTATTCATAACACACGGAATGAAATAATGAGGTACTTATATTTTACAAGCAATTCTGTCTACCAACTGTGCCTATATTTACAATGAGGACTTCTTCCTCGGGAATCCGACATTACCCAATCGTACGGACGGCTGGGTGTCTTTTGAAGATTTCCCCTCTCCCACGAAAACATAAAAAAAGGGTCCTTGATAAACGGCGTAAAATACGTTGTTGTTGTCCCAGGCACGTTTATCTGGGCGTTCCTCTTAATTATTGTGAAAACACTTTTATTTTACACCAAGAACGTTGCCTTTCAATGTAAAACTACGGAGTTTTCCAATAACAGAAAAATTAAGAGAAGTCTTCGCATTTAAAAGCTAATCTTTCGGCAACATTTAAGCGAACTAGCCGATATGACATTACATATTTAATTGTAATGTATTATAATTTTTTATTTATTTAGTTGTTTTTACAACAAACGGAAAAATCTCTTAATACAAAAAGAATATAAAACCAAACTAAAGTCCTAGTGTACTCTAGTGTCTAGTGTTTAGTCCATTAATTAAATATTTAATTCAATACCAACTTGAGAAAAAGTAAAAATTTTCTTCGAAACCAAAATAATTTTTTATACTAATGAATTCCATCAAGAGAACTAATTTAAACTTCTTATTAATCATAATCGAAGCATTGTAGTTTAAAATTATTATGAATAGTCCAAGTTTTAAGTTACTTGCAATTATTTCTGAAGTTTCTAGATAGAGAATTTTATTATTCAACCAATATCATTCACCTAAAACTAAGAATAACAAAGCACCACGATACGTCCCTTGAGCTACACCACAGGTAACATATGTATATCATATGTGAACTTTATATCTCATATTTCTCAAATACAAACCAAAATCATTCAAAAGAATACTGACGAGGAATTGGTGCTTTGACTTTACATTTAGCTCAAGACAAACGTGGAAAGAAAAAGTGAAATTATCTAAATGTTTTATTGATTTATTTTATGTTTGTTTTCAATAATGAAAGTTATTGAGTACCCTGATGTAGGTACTATAGAAACATCTTAGTTCTTTGAATGATTTTATTTACCACAATTTGGTCGTAGTTTCTCTTAACATTTGTGTACTTTATGGGCAGTAAACAGCAGAAGTTTTTTCGTAATTACCAGTACCAGATGTCGTGAGCATCATATCATATCTTTTAATTACTTGGGCTTAACGGTTTATGAAGTGTTTAACAAATTAATTAAATTGGGGGAAACATCGGTGACAACGTTTTAACTTTCACTTTATAACTTATGTGCAAATAAAGTTTGGGTTTTGTGGGAAGATACCTTACATGTGCGTAACATCCGTTGCAGCTACCTATGTCACTACACTTTCGAAGAAATACGAACATGTGGCAGATGAACCTTTTACCTTTCAGAAAACACATAGAGACAGAACTAATTTTAACTTACGATCAATAAACAATCAGATTAAATGTTGTATTTAGGCACGTTGAAAGTATATCTATAGGTAAAGAAACATGTTCACTGAACATCGAAATTACACATTTGCTTGTCGGAATGTTTTCTTCTTATGACGTATGAGCGAAAATGTAACCTGGTGAATGCATGAAATATATTTTTTCAACCACAATTATCTGAAAATATGACCTTGTTCTCTAAAAATTGTCCTAAACTATATAATCAAATCTTCAAAACTTTTGGTCTCAGTTCGCCATTAGTGTATATATGTTATCGGAAATGTATGGAATCTAGGAATTGTATACAATTCCTAGGAAATGTATACAATTCCGAGGCTATTTAGGAATTGAAAGAAAATGTTTCAGATAAAGATTTGTGGGCTGTATTTTTGTTTTATACGATAGCATTCACAATTTTGTATTTTCAAATTGTCGCTGCTGTGACAAATGAAACGTTATATTTTTTTGTTTATTTGCGAATTTCGTTATTTTTTTGGTTTAATAACCGAAATTTTTAAAAAATTAATTGTTTTAACACTTCTGGTGGTTGTGTCACTAAAAGCTTTGCAATTTTTCATCTGTTGGCTTGTAGGAATGCCGACAGAAAAACTAAAACGATTGACTCATTTAATAACGAAATTTATATGGGTTTTAAACCTGGCCAATAGACATTGCGTAAGAGAAATACGGAAATTGGTTCAAGATTGGAAGAAGTGGATGTCTTCGTGCTGACAACCTTAATATGACGATGATTTATAGTAGATCTATCATCGTCATCATAAGGTCGTCAGTCCTAAGACTGGTTGGACACGCATCTCCACTCTTCCCTATCCTGAGCTAAACTTCGCATATATCTTTAAAACTAGAACAACCCACATCCTTAACATTTGCGAACAGTAATCTAATCTAGGTCTACCCCCACCCCTCCTAACTCCTGTTTCTGCCTCTAATATGTCTCTGTCCTGGTTTATGTCGCCTATTTCTTACTGACTTTTATATGACCCCCGGTTCTCTTAGTCTTATGTCTTCTTATTTCTGACCTTCTCTATGTAAGGTGTCCTCACCCTTCGCGTGCTTCAGATATACATCTTTAACGTTCTCTTTCGAATTTCTAACTTCGTTCGCGAACACAGAAGAATTATCCAACATCCTGGACACCAAAAATCAGCGACTTGTAATGTTTCGTCTCCTGTCTTTATATTCTACTAGTCTACTTATTCTTTTGTTCTGCATACCAATATTTTATTTATTTATTATTAATATTAATTATAAAAAACTATTTTTCTGTTATATCTACATCCTACGTCTAGTTATTGCTTCAGTTTTCTTATGTGTATTTATGAAGCAGTTACTGTACATCTGCGTATGAATTATTATGTATTAAACTTAAACCGCAGCAGGTTTTGAATCGTATGTCTACGTATAGAGCGACAGGTATGAAACATTTATAGGTACGACAGGTATCTTGCAGACAGACGGTGATGGTACATGAACATGTACATCCCGTTAGTCAATTAAAATATTTGCACACGAGCACGACTCAAAGAGCCACTCTTACACGTGCAGAATTTCTAGGTTAACGTTTACTTTCATCCCGATTAAGATTAGAAAATATGGGTCGAAGTAATGTTTATGTACAAGTATTAAAAGTTTCTTCTTAATACAATAATGTTAGCAAGTATATATTTATATTGAGTTGAATTTGTATAACTACACTTTTAAAAGGGAAGGGGATGTTAATTCGAGAAGGCTTGGGTCACGCAGTTATCTACTTTTGAAGTTTGTGGTCGCAATGTGATAGATTGTCGTACAGATTTTGGTGATTCAAAAATAAAAACGATCTGATTTTTGGAAAACATCAGTTGTTTGGGTTAAATAACCGAGCGGCATGACTTAAAGGGTTTAGACCATTGTTTAGCATTCAGGAGGACGCTGGTTCGATTCCTGGTCCGTCTGCCTTGGTCCAAGTTTTTCTGTGGTTTCCTTGGATCACTTAGGCAAATGCTGGAACAGAAATATTCCACAGATAATCTTTCGTTCTCTTCTGTCTTCATTTCGTCCGTCTCATCTTTCTCACTCGAACCACCACCCACCCATTCCCACGATTCCTGAAAGCAGGCTGAAGAGGGCCTTCCGCCCTACCTTCCGGCATAGTCCGGAGGGACTGCCCGCCCACCAGCATTACTGGCTGGTGGTAATGAAACGCCCAAAGAAAAGTTTAGAGGTCTAGAACCGAGCGGCATGGCCTAGAGGCCTAGACCATTGCTTAGCATTCGGGAGGACGCCGGTTCGATTCCGGGTCCGTCTGCCTTGGTCCAAGTTTTTTCTGTGGTTTCCTTGGATCACCTAGGCAAATGCTGGGGCAGTAATATTCCACAGATAATCTTCCATTCTCTTCTGTCTTCATTTCGTCCGTCTCAACTTTCTCACCTAAACCACCACCCACCCATTCCCACGATTCCTGAAAGCAGGCTGAAGAGGGCCTTCCGCCCTACCTTCCGACATAGTCCGGAGGGAGTGCCCGCCCACCAGCATTACTCTCTGGTGGGAATGAAACACCCAAAAGTTTTTAAGTTTTGGGTTAAATAGCTTACGTATATTGTATCAAAAGGACATTTTCCCTCTAGTTTCTTTGTTATCTATTTAGTATAAAAAGACTGAAAAAAAGAACAACACCCTAATCCTAAAATGCATCATGACTAATAGCATCATCATCGATATTTTGTTAGTTATCAAACACAAAACGTAAATAAAAGCTCTTTGCCTAAGCACCTTACGTCATAGCAGGTGCGCATTACCTTAATGCGCAACGAACTTCTGAGTACTTATGTACATGAAATAACCCGTGTAGTTTCTATTCCTATCCCATGACTTTTTGATTAGCATTTTCAATCGTAATTGTGGCGAACACTGTGACAAAACTAGTTAATGAAAAAATTAGAAATAATTCTTTTTGGTTTGCTCCTTCTTGTCAGTTCCTAACGAAAATTGTGAACAAATATTGAAAATAGGTTTAAAGACTATCTTCAACTATTTTCAGTACGTATCCCCTTGTTACTTATACTCAACTAATTTTTGTATAAATAACATAATTAGATCGAGATTGGTAGTTTGTTTTATTGTTTTGGAGATAAGGGACTATGAATTTCTACATAAACTAGGATTAGCGTCGAAAGATGATGCATTGGCTGAATCGATTTTCATCAAACTCGTTCTGAGAACCATATTACAAATATGAGATTGTAAAAGATTGCAAATGGATTATCCATTCGGGATAGACGCTCACATACGTGGATACAAAAAGGCCAAACTTCCAATTCCCAATAATCCCCGCTTTATGTGGGAGGTAAAAAACTGTTTTACAGGCTAATATTGAATTTTAAATTGCTATAAGGTTTAATTATATTATTATAATTGTATAATAGTTAATTTACAACTGTAGGGATACATGTGCAAGGGCAAAAGATTAGTATCTATGCTTAGATTTGCAGATGATATAGCA